ATCGACCGCTCCCCGCGGAAGGTGACTGCCGCGATGGGCAAGAAGAAGATCGCAAAGCGGTCCAAGATCAAGTCCTTCGTGAAGGTTTACAACTACAACCACCTGATGCCCACCCGGTGAGCGTGGCTGCCGGGGCGCCGCCGGCAGGGCTGCGGTCTGCACCTGGCAGGGCCAGGGAGGTCTCGTCTGCTCGTGGTGACCGTGGTTCTCGTCACGGTGTGTTCTCTCTAGCGAACGCTGGGAGTCACTGAGGCTCTGAATGAACGCGGGGCACGCACCCTGCAAAAGCAGGGGCGGGGGGGGGTGAGGCTGAGGGGAAATATTGGCAAACCTCTGAAATAAGGCAGTTGGCTCTTAGTTCGGCCACACTGCTTTTCCTCTCAATCACGGGGTGTCAGTGGATGAGCCTTTGAAACAGCCATGAGGATCTGGGGGTGCTGGCAGGGCTGTTGTGGCCCAGTGGCGTTTCTTCCCGTCCCCTTTGAGCTCCTGCGGGTACAGGCTGCCCAGTGCAACGTGCTGGGTAGAGCTGCTTGTCTCTTGTGAAGCGTGTAGCTGTTTCGTTTGTAGGCTGAATTAAGTGTCTTTGGACGCTGTAGTGCTTCGGTGATTTCCAGAATTAAGAAGGCTTTAAGAGCTGTAGTGCCTTAACCTGGCCCTAGTACGTGCATTTGGCCAGCTCGGGCTGCCCGCGGTGTTCTCACCCTTGTGCCAGGAACCGTGGCTGTTTCAAACCTTGCTGCTCTCTTGCCCAGGTATTCTGTCGATATTCCGCTGGACAAAACAGTGGTCAATAAGGACGTGTTCAGGGACCCCGCTCTAAAACGCAAAGCGAGACGTGAAGCCAAGGTGAAGTTTGAGGAAAGGTGAGTGGGAAGCTCGTCTCTTCGGTGGTGTCAGCACCCGTCCCTGTGGCGAGGGCTCGGCGCGGTTGTGCCACAGCCTGGGTGAGTCCCGGGTTGGACACTTTTTTGAACGCGTTTCTGGTTGAGTGCATTTCTCCTCACCTTCTGTGCGTGTTTATGCAACTGTCTGTTCAGAGAGTTGACGGGCTGAGGTGGGGAACACTTCACCAACAGCTGTAGACCAGGCTGACGTTTACGATCATGCTGCAGCCTCGTGCCAGCATGAGCGGGGCCTTTCGGGTGCCAGATGACGATCTCTTGGTGTCTCACTGCCAGTTCGTCCGCTGTCTGTCACTGGGCTTAGTGGGACAGGGCAGCGCTGACGCTTTGCCCAGGAGTGTTCGGGTCAGTGGTCCTTCTTTCCAGTTTTCTGTTCAGAAACTCCTCCAGCGGAAGGAGCTGTGCGGCCTCAGCGGAACACAGGGTGTCTCGCGGGCAGCCCGGGCCGTTGGCTGTTTTAAAGCGCTCTGCCCGTGATCATAGGCTGCTCTCCGAGGGCATCTCCCGATGGCTGCCCTCCACGTGGGATGTCTAGTGGGGCTGCCACACGCTGCTTTCTTATCTCTCGGGGTAGAAACCGCCGTAGTGCGGGTGTCCTTCGTGAGAAAATCTGGAAGCGGACATCCGCTTCCCGTAGCAGTTCAAACGTTTAAAGCGGGCCCAGTTGCAGCCCGGGCTGAAGAGACCAGGTGAATTGCCTCTGGGTAAGCTGGGCGCCGCGTCCTGCCCGTGGGAGGATACGGAGAGCGCCGGTGCGGGTCTTGTGCTGTTGCCTGCTGGTACAGAGCACTCTCTAACCTCTGCACTCCTCTTTCAGATACAAGACTGGCAAGAATAAGTGGTTCTTCCAGAAGCTGCGATTCTAAAGGTGTAACAAGTTGCATCAATAAATGTTTATTAAAAACCGTTTTGTTTTGCTTTGTTGTATTTAAATAAAAAAAAAAAGCGTTGCCAGGCCTTTTTCTCTGTGGTGTGGACGTTGTTGCTTTGCGTGTCTGTGGGAGCTGGGAAAGCCCCTGCAGTCCGGGCGAGCTTCTGAGTGTCTGTGGAGCGTTGTAGGGCCTGGACTGCGGGTGCACGTGCCGTCTCCGTGGGACTGTCCTCACACCTCCCGCTCTGCAGCGGGGCAGAGGCTGCTCTTTCCCCTTCCTGCTGCCGGAGGGTGATTTATGTCATTCCCGCCACTGCTGGGCATCTCCGATTCCCAAAACAGCAGTAATTCCTGTGAGAATAGGGGTGGGAGAGGGAAGATGAATGGACGATTCCAGGTGTCTGCTTCTCTTACCTCTTCTCTGGCTGAGGAATACGGCGACGTGTAGGGCGGACCTGCGCGGTGATCTTACCAGTGGAGCGGTAAATTCTTGGTTGCTTTCGCAAATGTTCTTCATCGAGCAAGTGACACCCTTCCCCGCTCGCCTGGGGAGCAGGGGGGGAGTCGCGGTGTTAAATCGAAGACGGATGCGCGGGGCAGGAGCGGGAAAGGTTATTTACTGGCTGGGGCCGAGGAGGGTCGGGTCGCTTTGGGAAAGCGAGTTCCACGGGGAGGAGGGGGCGTAAATTCTTGGTTGCTTTCGCAAATGTTCTTCATCGAGCAAGTGACACCCTTCCCCGCTCGCCTGGGGAGCAGGGGGGGAGTCGCGGTGTTAAATCGAAGACGGATGCGCGGGGCAGGAGCGGGAAAGGTTATTTACTGGCTGGGGCCGAGGAGGGTCGGGTCGCTTTGGGAAAGCGAGTTCCACGGGGAGGAGGGGGCGGACGAACGCGGGGGG